TTTGCAAACCTTGATGCTGTGTATATACAATACAATGAATAATATAATCAATTTATATATGTAATACAATACATATATAAATTATATAATTTAATATAATTTAACGCATATAATAAGTTATAGCAATAATGTATATAATAATTTAATTAAATGTATCTAATACGCCTTATGTATTTTGCACTTTTAGTCTGAATATTATGATTTATCTTTTCTGTCCTGAAATCTGCCATATCCTAAAATCCGCACAACCTCTGGTCCCAAGCTTTGCGGATTTCTAGACTTTTACTGTACATAAAAATTTACTCTCTATAGCTCACATGAAAAGTTTAAGGAAAAAGCATAGTATTTTATTCATATCAACTGTCACATAGGCCTGTTTTTGTTAATAAAAGTTTAAAACAAGCTAACCACCATATGTATATGTGTTTCATAATTCTTCTTATTTCTGTATTATGCAGCTGTTGTAATTGTTTTAATTTTCCTTTCCTTTCAGAACTATTTTCAAGATACAAATAAACATCAATAATTAATTCATCTATACATACTGATAAAGAAGCTGCTAAATTTAAAAGTGAGAGGCACATAATGAAGAATTAAAAGGCACATGCAGTAAGGAAGTTAAGTTTTCGCAGATGTGACAGGTATGTCCCATGATCAGCAATTCAGTTTCCCCCCTTTTTTTGTTTTGTTCAAATTGCCAGCAACAAATCTTCAAGGCTACCATTACTGCCACATTGTCTGCACAATGACCTAAACAACTATCTGTATATAAGTATGTAAAACTTCTTTCTAAATTGAGACAACACAAACTATGTTCAAATTCTGAAGTTACACAATCAAACCTCTAAGCAGCATGACCGGCTTTGTTTGGTCATAAGATTTTTTGTCGCTTGGTATATAGCTTATAATATATATAGCTTATAAGGTATTAGCTTATAATTCAAGATATTTTGCTTTGTTTTTTGTTTAATAATGTAAGTTTATGAAAATGGAGACTAAAGTGAGTAATTATACAAATTTAGCTAATAAATGCTGTTTAAATACAACCTTCTTGACAGATCCAAAAACCTGTGTTCCTAAGAGGGTTAAAAAAACTGATGTGGACACCATATGACTTCCTAGAACACCCTATTAAATTATACACATTTTTTTGCTCAAATTCCCTTAAACTTTATTTCCTCAAATTATTTTAACATAATTAATTGATCTCTCAAGTCAAGTTGAAAACATCAAAAACTGCAAATTTTGAGATTAAAATATTTTGTCAATTTTTGTCATCTGGAAGTCAAATTTCTTATAATTTTATTTTTTCATAACGAGTATAAAATTGCATAAATATATGCATAGAAAACAAGAGACCACATTAAAAAGTTAGATATCGTTACTTGTCTAATTTTTTTTTGTTTTAAATTTAACATTGCCAAAATATGAATCTTTTTAAAAAGTTAGATAATGTTACATTAAAAAGTTAGATATCGTTACTTGTCTAATTTTTTTTGTTTTAAATTTAACATTGCCAAAATATGAATCTTTTTGCCATTTAAAGCATTTCTGTAATTGGAAGTATATGACGATGACCAACGACTGTGAAAATAACGGCTGAGTGTGGGGGTTGTATGTATACTTTTGGTTCTGTCGATTACAAACACAGTCCCATATACAAAATTTCAGCGATCTATGGCAAATCATTTTTTTAATTGTGCGAGATACATACATACATACAGATACCACACACACAACACACACACAACAAAAAAAAAAAAAAAAAAAAGATAGAGGGAAAAAAATAGAGAAAAGAGTCTTTTATTCTGTCTGTACATAAAAACATCACACAAAAAAGTCAAAATGAATTCTGGAACAAATAAAATGGCTATTTATGTTGAAGTACAAGACCCAAAATTCTTCACAATTACAATACTTCCTTTACTTCATACAAATAAGTAAAAAATAATAATGAATGGATACAGTTTTACATAATCATTATTACTAACATACATAGAAAAGTAGAAAGAACCTGTTTTAATGCAAGCAACAACTGAAAATAAATTTTTTGGCTCGTATTTTTTTTTAACAAACAACTGCAATCATTTATTCTTACACATGAATATTTTTTAATAATTTCACTATTGGTAAACATTTCAGAAATAAAACTACAAAATGACTGAAGGCATTCAACTACAGATTGTGCTCAGATAAAAAGGCAGGAACTGGCATTCTGCATTAACACAATTTTGGTCTTTTCTTTCAGAAAAATTTTAGTTTTTTTAAATACAATTTGCATTGTCATTGTGCTTTTCTGGTTTGCATATTTTAGTATATGGGCTCTCCCCCCATGCAAAATCAAATATTTCTCTTCCCTTTTTGAAAAATAATACTAATTGTAATTGCAAATAAATTTTTGTCTTTACAAACAAATCGTAATTTTTTTCCTGCATTCATTTAAACTTATGCAGACTAATGGTTTTTCATAGTTTGAGTTGTGAAAAGTTCTGACATTGTTCTATTACATGATTTTACACATTTATCTATAATTATTAATAATACATGTTTATTTATTGCTATTCCATTGTAATCTTCTAAATCTTTTCTTCTTCTTCTTTTTTCATGACACATTCAGCCACAAAAAATTTCAGTAGCACTAGCATACAGAAATGCGTATAATATCCTATGGTGGGAAAAAAAAAGTTATAAGGGAGGGGCTTATATCATTTCCTTTTCCTTTTTATTTCATATTATCAGGTATTTTCTCCCTCCTTCCAGCAGACCTTTGTGGTGTAACGGTTAGCACTCTTGATGCTCTCGAGATGTCCAGGTTCAAGTCCCGGCAATGCTAATTTTTCATGTCTCCTGCTTAAAAAAAAAAAATCATTACGACTCTACAAGATTATTCAGGGAAGGGGTAAGATAAAGGTTCTTTATGATTAATTGCACTTCCATTGAAAATCATGAAAAAGTAATAATGATGCAATGCATCATATTGCCAAAAAGCACAAACGTACGGTATCACCAAAAAGTATTTATGTGGCAATCAAGTAGCTTGCATACCACACGTGGCTTTGCACTTTTGAAATTCATATTTCTGAATAGTATTTCTATTACACAGAGCACATCTGTTTTTGTCATAATGAATCATAATGGAACTGTGGAATGTGCCCTCTTTTATTTTCCTTACACAGAAGTGTACATTAAAGTTTTAGCTGTTTTTGAGCAGTCGTGGTCACCACTTAATGCCAAGTGTTTGCAATTCGCTGATGTTATTTTTAAGAAAAACAGATTGGTATGTACATTGGGAGAGAAACAATGCAAAATAATTGCAGAAGAATTTCTCAAGATAAAATTGTTTTATTTTCTAATGAATGTAAAAAAAAAAAAAAAAGAACTGGGTGCATGGTTGAATTAGGCATAAAAGTACTCAAGCAAATGCTTCTCTCCAAAATAACCAACAAGCGATTCGTTCATGACTTTTCGACAAAGATGTGAACAATCAGAAAACATTATATAAATAAAATCGAACATTTAATCCTCCCTAAATAATGTTCCAGCATAAAAATAGTGTAAAAATGTCCAAAAATGAAACATTTTATAAAACTACACTAAAACCTGTTTTTCTTCTTTTCAGATTTAAATAATTTTATGCCATCTTTTAAATTCTTTTGTCCAGTTACAAATGACACACAAAATCTCATAACATCTGGTTTAAATCAGCAAGCTGAATGATTTTTAAAAAATACATATATTATATGATTTGAAAAATTTATAAAGCTAAGCTGTTAAACTGAACTGCAATACTCTTTACTTAATTTTAATTTGTGAACCTCACTTCATATAATGAATACTCTTTACCCTAACAAGAAATCTGAAAGCATACTTTGGGCAGCATTACATGAATGAATAGCAGGTGTATTTTGAAGTTTTAGTTTCAGCATATGTAAAAAAATCTTTTGCAATGATATAGTTATTTTCACTACATCAGAATGAAAATAAGGTTTCTTCTCAATCGCAATGCTCTTAATCACCACATTTGTCTGACCACTCTCTTCATCAAGCTGTCTTCTCAAGGTCTATTTTTGCCACTTTCGTCAACTAAACATGGCTTGCAACTTCACATTCTATGGCAAATTTTATCCTCTTGATGCTACTATCACCCCTCTGAATCTGTCAGTCAAACTAGGCAACACCCTGTATACCTCCACAAGGAAACATTTAACTCCCCTACCCAGTTCAAACAAAAATTACATGCCTGAGCATACACCATTAGCTGGTGGCATGAAGATGCAGCAAATGCTTCAACTGGTCATTGCTCAGAGTGATTGTGAGGTCACATGACTAAAGAGATACGATTTTAATGCAGCACTACAGCTGACCATTGCGGGAGAAAGGGGAAAATGACTCTTATAATGGAAAACATCATGAAACGAAATCTCCTGAAAGCATTTACAATAAACTTGATACAACAATGGCAAAGACTTGAAACATTTGAAATGACAAGCAGTGCCAGGCAATAAAGCGTGATTTAAGGACGTAACTTTCTAATATCACTATCTTATTTCTCCCGGCCATAATACTATCATCACACGATGTGATCAAATATATAGTTTATATTTCTGACTTTTATATAAAAATATTAAAGCAGAATTCAATAAACACTAAATGCTAGAAATAAAAAATATTTTCACCTTTTTTTATTTACATGAATAGAAATAATTGTTTACAATATAATCACTTACATGATGAAGAAATAGGTACTTTTCCATTATGCACCTACTACATGTTTTGGCACCCATAAAACAAAAGACAAAAATACACAAGACTTAATGACAGCACCATATGGGGATGAAACCATTTGTTGATTCATGCACACACAGGCATAGCATAGCAGCTTCATAACAAAATAGTACACATACAAATGCATAGCGGTAACATAGCGGAAAAGTACCAAGAAATACAACCATACCATTTAAAAAATTTTGCCCATCCACATTAAAATCATATTTTCTTACCTTCTTTTTTATAGCACAAACGAGTGGAACAAGGCAAAGCCGCATCATCTGGTCCAGGTACAGAAACTTCTGGTAAGTTGCTATTATCTTGTAGTTTACACAGAAAATTTGAGATTTCTGTTTGATGTGTTTTTTTTTCTGCATGTGTTTCTGTAACTTCCACTGGCAAACTTTTGAATTTTGACTTTGGATTTTTTTTTCTTCCAGCTATAAATAAAGATTCAAATGCTAAACATTAAAGCTCATAATAAAGAAAACCTATGATAGCACCAATACTATCGCATATTTAAATTTCATAGATTACTATATTAAAAAAAATGATCTGAAGAAAGCTCTAATACTCAAAAGAGCTACAGCAAGACCTTGCTTAACGAGGTGTATACTATGTTCCATCAAAGTAGAGCGTAATATGAAACAACGTTAAACAATGTTATCTCATCATGCAAATAATGGGGTTAGGGGAAGATGGGTAGAAAATGGGCCAGGTATTTTACCATTAAATTTATTAATTACCTTTTATATAACAATAAAACAAAAATTTATTTCTTACAAATATAGAAACATAATAAACGAATATACGTATAAAAATAAATAAAATTCTAAGTCAGTGTGTTTACATTTCAGATCATTCATTCTTATGTATTTCCAATTTTCTGCTTTTTTTTATCAAGAAGGTATCTAATGTAATTTGCGTTTTCCTTTTGTGCTCTGTAAGAAGTTGTTGGTAAGTGGATAAGGCATCCATAACACCCCGTCTTGCCTTTGAACTCCTGTAAAAATTTGGGTCATTTTCAATAAATTGGTCCATAATTTCTGTTATAGTGGTTAACTGGTTTCTCTTCTAAATCTGTTTTTTAAACATCTGTCTAAATATGTTCAGCGCAAGTAATAAACCTTAAAATTTGATATAACGCCTTGATCCATTGGTTGGATTAAGGCAGTTGTGTTAGGCAGCAAGAAAACCACTTCGACTGGACTGCATGTTATCAAGTCAGATAAATTTGTTGGATGGCATGGAGCATTATCAATCAAAAGTAGTGCTCTTGATTCAAGTTTTTTTTTTTTTTTAAATTTTGCAATAGCATTTAACAGACGGGCAAAAATATTTAATGAACCAATTCTGGAAAATTTTCATAGTCATACATGAATTTTTGATTAGACTCCCAAATTACAGGTAAAGTTTATTTCGATAGTCCTTTCATTGCTCTTGGGCTTTTGGAATGGTAAACAAGTACAGTCAAAAGTCGTTAATTCGGACACCTATAATCCGGACCTCAAAGCTAAAAACTTTCTGCGCATGTGCCGCGTTAGCACAGGCGTTTTACGCGAGCGCGTAAGAACTTGACTACTGCGCATATGCGTGTGAGCAAGCGCAGAATACGTTTTCGCCTGCGCGTTTAATGTATAACGGACGGTGTAGGCTAAAATTATCTAATTATCTATTTCAGTTAATGTTAATGATTGCGTTGTTCCTTAATCTTCGAATAGGATCCCGCTTATTATTTTTTGCAGACTGTAAGAGCAATTTTATAAAAGTAAACTTGAACTTTCGATTATGTCAAATAGAATTTCCGATGCTGGAACTTCCAAAGGATCTACAAAACGAAAGTATGTTTCAATGTCCAACAAACAAAAAGTGAAATTGCTGAAAAAAATGGATAAAGACATGAAGAATGTGACAGAGAGGTTAGTGAAAACGAAAAAATTTCCATTGACCAGTTAGTCGGTATTCTCGGCACAGCAATTAACGGGACTTGAACAGCAGAACTCTTTAACTGAAAAGAAATTATGTCTGTTTATAGAATTAAAGAGAAAGTATTAGTATCACATAAAATGAAGCAACTTAAACAACTTACATTGAAAGAAATGTTTAATAAAGTAAACAAATAAATATTAAGCTTTTTTTTTTGTAAATTTTGATACCCTTTAGATCATAATTGTTCTTTATTTCATAAATTACGGTTTCATATTTTTTAATTTTAGAATTTCTGCATGCCATCTTACGAGATTTAAACTGATGATCTATAATCCGGAAAAATCGATAATCCGGAATCGCCGAAGTCCCGACGAGTCCGGATACGACTTTACGTATTCTCATAAATGTTATAACAAATCTTTCAGAAAAATTCGTATAAACGACGTTCTTTCTTCTAAAACGACGACTTCTTTGGTCTTAATTGTGCTTTTGCAGCTTTTAATTCTTTCAGTTATGCAAATCCAGTATACTACATTTTCTTTATTTTTATTTTGAATTAACGACTTTTGACTGTAGTGATTTTAATTTGAAATCTCCGCTTGCATTACCACTTAGTAGAAGTGTTAAGCGATCTTTTGCAGCTTTAAATACTGGTGCACGTTTTTCTTCACGGGATAGAAATGTTCATTTTGGCATTCTTTTCCAAAACAGGCCTGTTTCATCAACATTAAAAACCAATTGTGGAGGATAGTTTCCTCATTTAATTATTGTTTTTAATGTCGCTGAGAATTCAGCCGCCACTTTCATATCACTACTTGCTGCTTCTCCTGTAATCTGTATGTTATGAAGATTATTTTGATGTTTAAATCTATTAAACCATCCTCGACTTCGAACGAAAGTTTCACTTGAATGTTATTAAAAATTCTTTTTGCTTTTTTCATTATAATAGATTGGTTTAATGGCATACTGCGTTCAATTTTGTCATCAATCTATATAGAAAGTCATTTTTCCATTTCCTCCCTTATATTATTTCTAGAATGGGTAATTCTAGTTGCAGATGACAGTATTTTTTCTTTATTCTTAAAAATAGTCCTTATTGCTGAAATTGCCAAATTCAATGCAGCGCCAATTTGAGATTGATGTTCACCAGTATCTAATCTTCTAATCACTTGCATTTTAGTTTCTGGTGAAATGCTTTCTCTTGTTGCTTTATTTTTATAATAACCCATGATAAAATCTAAAAATCATATAATATTTGTCACTATATCAATCATCATATTATATAAATTTACACTTACAATAACGTCAACAAAAGTTTGAAACGATAAAAATACGTTTGTATAACACCGCAGGAAAGAAGAAATACAGATAAACTGTTTTAGATATCGGGAAGCCTAACGTCGCGTGCAATTTCGGAGAATCCTACAATTTGAATAAAAAAGCGCTAAGCATGGTCTTACTGTATTTTCAAAATGGTGTTACACTAAGAATTCTATCAATAATAAAATTTAAAAACAAGAAACATTGTATTATTTTATTACTGTCTTCAGATTTATTACCTGACGATAAATAACAATATAATACAATAAATGTGTATGGAGTAAATTATTAAAACACTTTAATTGTTTGGACAGATCTCCAGATGCATGTTTGTAAAGACATGACTAATATTATTTGACCTAACATCATTGCTTCATAACAGATTAAAGTAATAAGCAGAATGTTCATAAGCTTAAAACACAAAACAACATTGCTCTTTTATGGAATTCTTAGTGCAAAAGCATTTTGAAAATAGCATTAGCTGTTTTTTTCTCACACTTAATTAAAAAAAAAAAAAAAATGTGCACTCAGTTACAGCATGAAGCATTAGTATCAATGTATTTGTTTTAGTATAGTCTAATCATCTTGAACTGTGACTAGCACTGCCAACTTTCCAAAATAGCTGACCCAGACCTTTAGCAATTAGGATGTTACATAAAATTTAAAAAATGACATTACAGTACAAAGTCTGTAATCCGGACGTCCATTATCTGGACCTCAAAGCCACAAACTTTTTTTTGTATGCTTTACGCATGCGTAAAACATACAAAAAACGGACGTATAACGGACAGTATAAGCTAGGCTAAAATTATCTTTACTGATTCTAAGACATTCAGTTAATACTAATTCAGAAGTCAAACAACAAAAATCAGCGTTATACCTACAAAATTTTCACAGGACTAGTTTCGATGGTTTACCGAACCATCATCTTCAGCTGCAAAACCGCAAAAATTTGCGGTTTTGCAGCTGAAGATGATGTTCGGAAACCATCGAAACTAGTCCTGTGAAAATTTGTAGTGTAACGCTGATTTTTTGTTTTGACTCTGAATTAGTATTTATTCGCGTGTTATTGTGTCGTAACATTCAGTTAATTTGCAAGATTGCGCTATTCCTTAATCTTCTAATTGGTCCGGCTTATTATTTTCTGCGGAACTGTTAGAGCAATTTTATAAAATTAAGCTTGAACTTTTAATTATGTCAAAAAGAGTTTCCAATTCTGGAGCCACCAAAGGATCTACAAAGTGAAAGCATGTTTCGATGCCCATCAAACAAAAAGTAGAATTGTTGCAAAAAACGGATAAAGGCATATCTGTCTCAAAATTATGCGAGGATTATGATATTGGAAAGTCAACTGTATATGACATAAGCAAAAAGAAAAAAGAACTTTTGAATTTTTTGTGGATTCTGACACCCCACTTGCAATGAATAAAAGAAAAAGGTTTCGTTATGCTAAAAGTAATGATTGAAAGGGCCAGACAGCATCACAGCAAGGATAAATGCTAATGCCTCAAGCATTTCAAGTCCAATGCTAATGCCTCAAGCCAAAATATTTCATGAAAAATGAACTTGAACACTAGTGCATATATCGACAGGTTGATTAACCAAATTAAAAATCGCCATATTATAGACAAAATTTCAGGTGAAAAAGCTTCAGCTATACTGAAGCTTGCTAACATTGGCAGAGAATTCATTGAACTCATTACTAGAGAATA